TATATATATAATATATATATATATATATATATATATACATATGAAGAGTTCATTTGCAAAAACCGATAACTACCGATAAACCGATAAAAATTTTTTATTGCACATTCCAAGTAATGTCAATGAAACTGCAATTGGGTTGTTTTGATTAATAATAATAACTTAAATACAGATAATTTACAAAATTAAAGTTCATTGAAAGTTTTTTTTTTTACATATTAAAAGTTTGTTTTATAGCAAAAGCAGATAACTCCACATTTCCTGTTTTAGAGTTAAAAAAAACACTGGCTTAATCTTTGTAATCTCCTCAGATGACGATGTAGACGCCTGACAAACGTTGTTGTTGTTGTGATCATAAACTGTATGGATGTGATTACACGCAGTACACAGAGCTTTTCCCTCACCATTGTAACGCGCTGCTTTTGCAAGCTTCCGTGAAAAAGTTTCAGCTTTTATTTTCCTTCTTCACCCTGAAGAAGATATCACAGGTTCATCAAGTTCGTCGAAATTATCCATCCTCGATCACTTTTAGTCAGCTTGGATGAAACTCCTCTCAGCTAGCACGTCTTTTCAAAGTGAACGTAGCCTTGTCACCTGCTGATTCGCTAAAATGGACTTCAAAGAATCCAGTGTTGTTTTATAGTGGTATTTTATAGTGTCTCTCTCACTATTTCTTTCTGTAAACATCATTCGATTAAAGCTGTGTGTTTCATTCGGTCCGTCTCTGTGTTTGACGTTACACTCATAAGCTCTTACAGACGAATCCCAGAGCCAGCGCTGTTATTCATCAGTTCATTCTCATTCCGGCTCTTTTTATGTGTTTATTCTCCACAATGAAAACCTTGTCTTGGTTTTGGCACATTAAAGCGTGTGAGGAAATTCATCTGACCGACATGCAAAGCCATCGATCAGTTCAGTTTGTGTTTTATCTGTCATTTAACGGCTGATGTCAAATTATAGCTTGGAGCTTGCGTTTACTCTTCACGCAATATGAATTGACGCTTATGCATGTTTTGTGCAAAATGTTTTACAGGAATTGTGTTGAGCAATGTTTTAGATTCTATACTCAGCTCTGATTGGCTGCTGCTTTGATTGACGCGTGTGTGCAGGGTCAGCGCGGCGATACCGGTCTGGAAGGGAGGGCGGGACTTCCTGGCCCGCGGAGCGAGCTTGGACTTCCCGGTGTCGTCGGAGAGAGAGGGCCAACGGGGTCAAAGGTCAAAAACCTCAAATTCTTCCTTTGGTTTCTTTGTATTACTTTGATAATGTATTATATACGACAACATGTGCAGCACACACAATATATACTACAGCAGGGGTGCCCAAACTCGGTCCTGGAGGGCCGGTGTCCTGCAGAGTTTAGCTCCAACTTGCCTCAACACACTTGCCTTCAAGTTTCTAGTTTGTCTAGTAAGAGCTTGATTAGCTGGTTCAGGTGTGTTTAATTGGGGTTGGAGCTAAACTCTTCAGGACACCGGCCCTCCAGGACCGAATTTGGGCACCCCTGTTCTACAGTATGCAGTACGCATTACTTTGCACCCTTGACCTTTGACCTCTGCAGGGCGAGATGGGTTTACCGGGCGACGGAGGACCGGCGGGTGCTAAAGGCATGGAGGGGGCGGTGGGAGACCAAGGCGTGAAGGGAGAGCAAGGTGCCAAAGGAGAACCAGTGAGTGTCGTCATTTATGTATTTACTCAACCTCCCATCAGCCATCATTATCTGACCGTCACATCGTTTAGGCCACAATTACTGAAAGGTACCATGGTATTACCATGCTTTACCATGAGATGTAACTGTAGTATGGTGTATATAGCATGAAAATATCATGGTTGCATGCTAGATTATGTGTGGTTATTATAGTTAACTAAAACTAAAACCATTTATTTTTGTTATTTGAAATAAAATAAACATTAACTGAAATAAAATGTATAAATTATTTTAATATTTTTAATTTTATCTTTATTTTTTGTGTCCAAAGCAACATTTTCCTTTAGTTTACAGTCTAAAATAACTAAAACTTAAATAAAAATTAATAAATCCCATATGGACATATTAAAATAAATCAATCAATCAAAATAATAATAACAACAATAATAAAAATGACAAAAATACACAAAAACGTACTAAGACTTTAACTAAAATTAAACTGAAAATGAAAAGAAAAGAAAAAATCGAATTCAAAATATTAATAAATACTATCATAGTAAATTAGTAATATTAAACTAGCACTGTATCACTGTACCGTTGTCTCACAATAATGCTTTTTTTAAGCCATGTAAAGTTCAGCCAATAATGTGCAAATGTGCAAGATCATGTTTGTGTGCTTTGAGGGAAACTCAAAGGTATAAAAAAAAGTTTTGTAAAGTTTCATAAATAAATGTATAAAGTCTTGTGAAGAATTTTTGTTAAGAGTATACATTTTTCTAGTTATGCTAGAAATTGCTCTTTTTGTGAACAAATATAAAAAATATTTGAATATTTAAGTATATATGTTTAAAAATGTAAAATTATAAATATATATTTTTTTAATTTATTAAATATGTAATAATTGTTCAAATATATGATGAGGAAGAATTGCTTGAAATTGAATCAGACTGTTATTTTAATTTGGTTTTAATCCAATTTAATTTTAAAACTGCGTATGAATGTGGTTAACCAAAACTAAAACCAGAAAAAAACATTTTTGTTGCTTGAAACAAAATAGATTTTAAAATAACATTTTCATTATGTTTATCTTGAAGTACTAAAATAAATAATACTAAATAAATAGAAAGAAACTTTACACATATAAAAAAAATTACTAAAACTAACTCAAATTAAAGTGAAAACAGAAAATGGAAATATAAAATCTAATTCAAAATATTAACAAAAACTGTAACTGTATACATATATCAACGATACTAAAATAACAGCTGAATCTGATTGAACCTGATATCATGTGAATTATTTATTTATTTTTCTACCAAAAGAATTGTTCATCTGACTCCGTTCTTGTGACGGATTATCATAAATCCAGGGGTTTTTTCCTGGAGTTGGTCTAAAAGTCAGCGGGTCTCTTATGTAAGAGGTTGAATGATGGTAAGCAGATCGTTGAGTGAACATGAGACAAATGAGCTGCTCCACTTTCTTACGTAACTCAGGAAAACACAATAAAGGCCGAAAGCGAGCTGGAATTCCGAGCGTCCGGAGCGGGAATATCATCTTACAGGCCGTGTATGAATGAATGAACATGTGCGACTGTGGATATTGACTTAGAATTATAGGCACTTGAAGATGAAAGTCAGTGAAATCATGCCAGAAACACAGACAGGATCAGCCCAGAATAAAGAGGGAAAAGTGTGAGTACATGAAGTTGTTGAAGTCTGGATGGTGAGCCAGTTTTCTGTTTTTTCCTGCAGGGTGAGGTGGGAGACGCAGGCATGCTGGGACTCCAGGGGTTTCCGGGACCCAAGGTTAGTGTTCAACATTAAAGGTCCCATATTGTCAAAACTGAATTAAATTTAAAATAAAATGCAATTAAAATTATTTAATATAATTTAAATTATATTTTAATTATTTAATTAGACTTATTTATCCATCTATTAAAAAAAATTTTTTATTATTTAAATTATTTCTTTAATTTACTGTAATCTACACACAAATAAATATTAATACATATATGTATATTAGCTTGTATTGGCTTAAAATGTATTGTTTTTAAATTATGTATTTATTTTTTGTTTTTTATAATAACAAAATGGAGATCACTAATGTACCCATGTGATTTGTTGTTTGTTACTTCTATGAGTATTTCTGTTACTAAAATTACTCCACAATGTATAATATTCACGTATACCTCATTTCACAAGTTCACAAACTCGAGACGCACTTCATACTGTCTAAATAACGAATCGCTCTTTCAGTCAGCGTCTGAAAATAGATGTTAAGTGCATCTTTCTCTGTGTTTCAGGGTCCGAACGGAGATCTAGGATTCACTGGTATTCCTGGACTCAAAGGGCCGGCGGGAGTTCTGGTCAGTCTCGTCTCGTCTCGTCTCTAAATACATGTGAATGTAAGCATCTGCTGTCATCTAACGCGTCTCAGTCGTGTCTCTGCGTGTGTTTCAGGGTTTCTCTGGTCCTGTCGGTCCGGTGGGAATGATCGGTCCGCTGGGGAAGCCTGTAAGTATTTCATTTCTGTGTTTATGACATGCTTGTTACTGCTGGACTTACAATCCGGCGCCTGATGAATGTCAGATAACGGATGTGTTCGATGCTTTCTCAGGGTGCCAGAGGACCTAAAGGAAGCCGTGGAGAGATGGTAAGATGCGCTCGTCATATTTCACAGCACTGTGTTTAGTCTGCTGCCAGATCACAAAGCTCTTCATCATCAGGAGCTTTTCCGCTCCTCTAATGAAATATCCGCTTGTTCTTGTGTAACGGTTGTGTAACAGCGTCTGTATAAACTCCTCGCACGGAACAGAGAGGATAAACCGTCTGACATCAGCTCGTACGCAGTGATGGGCTGCAGTACCTGCGGCGACCTGTGGAGGCGCCAGCGCTCCGTCACACACCACACAGCATCCGCTTGAACTCAGACCAGTGCTGTTTTACTAAAGCAATAATCCCCGTGAAGCCGTGGTTTACAGTGAATTTATAACAGCTAAGGGGCGTTGTTAGGCACGACAAAAAAAACCCTTAGCGGTTATAAATTCACTGTAAACCATGGCTTCACGGGGATTATTGCTTTTATAAAACGGTTATTCCATATACGTAGTAAGGTTTCACAGAATAAAGCAGAGCAAATAAAGTGTAATGATATTAATAAAAACAGTATTCTTCCACCAAACAATGTAGCTCCTCAGAAACAGTTGTGGTTGCTACAAAGTTTTTGCCGAGCAACACACAAACGTTAACAAAGGTGTGTATTTATAGAGTAATTTACAACAGCTTTGAACGCGGCTCAGCCAATCAGAATCAAGGACCGAAACTCTCCGTTTTATAATACCAATGAGATACTATTATGGTTTTGGGAATATTTTTAGTTAGATTTTATTTTTCTATTTTCTGTTTTTACTTTAATTGTAGTTTAAATGTTGTTGTGCGTTTTTTTTTATTAGTTTTTGTTATATATATACAGTATATACATATGACGGATATACATATATATATAAATCTTTTATTTCAGTTTTAGTTATTTTAGTATTTCAAGTTAAACTAAATGAAAATGAGAAATGTTGCCTTGGCAACTTGAGAAGTTCAAATTTTTTATTTTATTTCAGTTAACCTTTATTTTGTTTCAAGTAATGGATTTTTTTAATATATATATATATATATAGTTTTAGTTTTATTTAATGATAATAACCCTGATCAGAGCTCAGATATTCTTTACTTAAAGGGACAGTGCATACAAAACTAAAACTGTGGTCATTCACAATTACTTTATATTGTTTTGAAGCTGTAAATGTTTTTTGTCTTTTTTGTTGTGCATATGATGAAACATTGTGGATGATGATTTATACAGACAGTCTGCAAAAATAACACCATAAGCAGCATAAAAGACATCCATGCATGATATTTTACATCTGAAATCATATGATAGCTCTGAGTGAGGAAGTAAATCGTGACAGAATTGTCTTTTTTTTCTTTTTTTTTGGTAAACTATTTATTTTTGCATTTAATTTTGGAATCCAAATGATTTTGGATAATGTTTGCTCCAGTGTTATTTTATTATGATTGATATGTTTTTATACTTATATTAATATTTTAAATTGGCTTTTGTTTTTATATTTTATATTTTCATAAAAAAAATTTTTTTTATAATTTTAAGTGCTTTTGACATTTTTATTACTGTTTTTTTCTTTTTTAAATATTACTATTTATGTTTTATTTTTAGTTCAGTTTTAGTTTTAATTCAGTGTTAGGTTTAATTTATTTCCGTCTGTTTCAATTTTATTTGGTTTTTAATCTAAATTTTATATTTTATTTAATTTCAGCTGTATTTAAATTAACTATTTTCATTAAAAAAAAAAAAGTATCATTTTAAGTGCTTTTGACATTTTTATTACTGTTTTTTTCTTTTTTAAATATTACTATTTATGTTTTATTTTTAGTTCAGTTTTAGTTTTAATTCAGTGTTAGGTTTAATTTATTTCCGTCTGTTTCAATTTTATTTGGTTTTTAATCTAAATTTTATATTTTATTTAATTTCAGCTGTATTTAAATTAACTAAAATATTTTTTAATAGTTTGGTTTATTTTCAGAAAAAAACCCTCATCATGACACTAGTTTAGGCCGCATATTATTTTATCAAGTCATATTGTGATGTTACTTGATTTATTGCATTTCTGATTTGGAAATACAAAATGTATAAGCGTAAGCATAACATTTCCAAACCAGAAAGTCAATAATCTCATTCAGATATCGTCTGAGTTTCATCTGAGGTTACAGCAGGAGGACTGAAGCTCTAGATAAACCGTTTGCTTGTAAGTTTGGATAAATGTTGTAGATAAATGACTGAATGGAAATGTTTGATGATCTCTTTGCACAGGGGCCTCAGGGGCCGCAGGGCAGTCCAGGGCCACAGGTACTTTACACATTATCACACTACAGAATAGTAAAAAATATAATCATTTTTAACGTTGATTCTGTATTAATAAGAATGTTTGTTTTTTTTATTCATGCATTTGTTAAGGCCTAACCATAGCTTTATAATTTGGCTACAGACATGCATTAGGGTTAGTGTATTATATGATAAAATATGAATGTTTATATTCTGTGTTTTTTGACAGGGGCCTCCAGGTTTACCCGGCCCATCGGTAAGATCATCTTACTCACAGCTCACTGTAATTGTGTAATTGCACTCGTTAAACATATGCACGTGTTATTATTTTGCATTTACATTCATGCATTTGGCAGAAACTTTTATCTAATGCATCAAGAAGTTTTGTGCCATTTTCCAGTGCAAATATCTAAACATTCTTAAATCTTGAGAAACAAAATGACTTGTATTTAGTTCTGTTTACTGAAAAAACGTTCTGAAAGTGAAGTGACTTTATGCTTAAATCAAGAACAAATATCTGCCAATGGAGTCTGAAAAATAAACTTAGTTTAAAGGGAAAACAAAGTTTATTGTTCTTACCCCATTTTTTTTTCTTGTTTTAAGAATAAAGTCACTTAATTATGATACATTTTTCATAAAACAAGACTCAATATCTTCTGTCATTTTGTTTCTCATGTAAATGTATATTGATTTAAAGGAACAGTTCACCCAAAAATGAAAATTTGCTGAAAATGTTCTCACCCTCAGGCCATCCAAGATTAGGATGAGTTTGTTTCTTCATCAGGTTTGGAGAAATGTAGCATTGCATCAGTGTCTCAGCAATGGATGCTCTGCAGTGAATGGGTGCCGTCAGAACGAGAGTCTGATAAAAACATCACAATAATCCACAGCACTCCAGTCCATCAGTTAACATCTGGAGAAGACAAAAGCTGAAACTAATCCAGCATTAAGAAGTTTTTTAACTAAAATAGATTGAGTCTATAATCCATAATAGTGTTTCCTCCAGTGAGTCAGTGTTCTGGTGTGAATCAGGAGAGAAATCTGCACAGATCAAGCAGCGTTTAAACAGCTTGAAACAAACATGTAGCTGGATTTTGATGTGAGAGACAACAGCAGATGCACTTTTTCACTGGAGGAAGCATTATTATGGATTATGGACTCATATTTTAGTTTAAAACGTCTTAATGCTGGTTTTGTTTCAGCGTTTGTCTTCTCCAGATGTTAACTGATGGACTGGAGTGCTGTGGATTATTGTGATGTTTTTATCAGTCTCTCATTCTGACGGCACCCATTCACTGCAGAGCATCCATTGCTGAGACACTGATGCAATCATGTTAAGTAAACCTGACCTTTGTAATCTTCAAGGACACATACTACTGGAATATAAAAGATGTGCTGGAAGGTTCTTTGAGGTTGTTTCTTTGTCGTCTGAGTGATACTCATCTTTTTCTCGTCTCACAGATACGCGTCAGTATGGACGTCCAAGCGCTGATGGAGTCCAGTGCACCTCTAGAGCTGGAGGTGAAGACTTTTAGATTGCTTCCTGAAAGTTGTGCACTCGTGAAGAACAACTAAAAATCTGCAAAGCGCTTTCATTGTATTCTTGCTGAGATGTTTTCTCTGCTCTCAGAGTTACCAGAACACAGACGCGTCTCAAACCGAGCGGAGCGCTGAGATCTTCAGGACGCTGCGGTATCTGAGCAGCGTCATCGACAGCATGAAAACGCCGCTGGGAACGAGAGAAAACCCGGCCCGCTTCTGCAGAGACCTGCTGGACTGCAGACACACGATGAGCGACGGTGTGTTTAAACTAACCTCCACCTCTCTGACTCCAAGCTGTGCTATTTCAGAGTCATTGAGATACTAGTTTTTTTTAACTCTTTCCCCGCCATTGACAAGTTATCTCGTCTTTTAAAGGAGACATATTATGCCCCTTTTTACAATATGTAATATAAGTCTCTGGTGTCCCCAGAATGTGTCTGTGAAGTTTCAGCTCAAAATACCCCACAGATCATTTATTCTATCATTTTGAAAGTGCCTATTTTGAGTGGAAGCAGAAACATGCTGTTTTTCGGGCCTGTCTCTTTAAATGCAAATGAGCTGCTGCTCCCTGCCCCCTTTTCCTTTACAGCTCTTATCTGCTAAAAACATCTGTTTTGGTTCTGATTATCATGTTTATCTCGCTGAAATCATGCTTTTTAAAGCATATAAATGAAAACTGCATAATGTTACGGAGTAAACTGTTGATCCAGGAATAAGTCTGTGCAAGCTTTGGAGGCGTTGATGGAAGCGATTTACTGGATTTATACTTTGATAATCGTACTGAATATCATCCAGATGTAGTTTTTGATAAAAATGTGATTTTCTCACCTTTTTGCTCAAAATTATGCATTTTTATGAAACCTACCTATATTCAAGTGTTGATAAAGAAAAGACTGCTTTAGGCTAGAATAAAACTGTTTTTTTTGTTTAAAAGTAGAGGCTCTGATCTTTATTTTGGTGTATTGCATATTCAAATATTCATACAGCAAAATATACTGGAGGCCATCAAATTTGAGTGAAAATCATCAAAATCGCTGACAGGTGGCTGGCAACTTTTAAAAAAAATGCTGGCGGGGAAAGAGTTAATAGTTGATAGTGGGTTTTTTTTACATTAATTTTATTTATTTATGGTTTTTATTTTAATTTGAATGAATGTTTTAGTTTTTTTGTTGTTGTTTTTTTTTGGTTTGGTTTTTAATATTTTATATATATATATATATATATATATATATAGTTTTTATTAATTTTTTATTATTTTAGTACAACAAATTAAATGAAAATGAGAAGTATTGCCTCGGCAACTAGCTGAAATAAAATAAGTTTAGGGTTTTTATATTTTATTATTTTATTTCAGTTTAACTTTATTTTTCAAGTCAGAAAAATGTTTTTGTTGTTGTTGTTTTTGGGGTTTTTTTGTGTGGATTTAGTTTTAATTAATAATAATAACCCTCGAAGGCACCTCGTTGTACAATACAATATATATCTCCAATATATGCTAAGATATTTACAGTAATTATGACAAAGCGGCTTGTTTTCAAACTTTTTTCATTAAGAGAATCTGGGATTATTGATATATTCAATGAATTAACTAAGATTAATTTCATGATTCCAAAAGTTTCAAGAAATATACAGTATGTGACCCTGTCTGTGAAATCCAGACTAAAGTCTCAAAATCTAATTATGAGATAAGCATCGCAGTTTGATTTCAACCATTAATTTCACTATGATTTCAGTCTTTGACATGGCCTTACTCACTCAATATTAAAGATATAAAGGTTATATTTTCACAGAATGTTCTACATCTTTATGAAGGATGATTTTATGTAGAAAACAGTAAATCACAAAAAAATGACTTTAGCTGGGTTTTCACAGGCAGGGCTTCCATAAAAATAGTTATTAAGCGGGGAAAAATAAACGTTTTCTTTTAGCCTTTTAATTTAGATTTTTATAAACTACCGTTTAAAAGTTTGGAATAATTAAGTTTATATATATATATATATATATAATAAATAAGTCTCTTCTGCTCACCAAGGCTGCATTTATTTTATCAAAAATATAGTAAAATTTGTGAAATATTATTACTAATTAAAACAGCTGTTTTCTATGTGAATCTCTGTTAAACTGTAATGTATTTCTGTGATGCGCAGCTGTATTTTCAGCATCATTACTGCAGTCTTCAGTGTCACATGATCTTCAGAAATCAGTATAATATGCTGATCTGCTGCTCAAGAAACATTTCTGATTATTAGCAATGACGAAAACAAATATTTTAGTGGAAACCGTGATGCATTGTATTTTTCAGGATTCACAGATGAACAGAAAGTTCAGAAGAACAGCATTTATTTGAAATAGAAATCTACTGTAACATTATAAATGTCTTTACTGGCACTTTTGATCAGTTTAATGCACCCTTGTAAAAAAAGTTTTTTTAATTGTACTTCCCTCAAACCTTTGAATGGTCGTGTATCACGGTTTCATTGAATCGTTCACTCATTTCTTTCTGCAGCTCACTGACTGAGTGTTTTGCTGTATCTGTGTTGATCAGGGTTGTTCTGGATCGATCCAAATCTGGGCTGCAGGTCTGACGCCATCCAGGTGTTCTGTAACTTCACCGCAGCTGGACAGACCTGCTTGAACCCCGTTACAACAGAGAAGGTACTGTGATATATATATAACATTACTAGTACTGTACATACAGCTGATACATGCATCTAAACACTTGATTAGAACCAGGGTTACTATCGAAAACTAAAACTAAAACCATTAAAAAACACTTTTGTTACTTGCAATAAAATAAATATGAACTGAAATAAGATAGAATATTCAAATATTTTTATTTCAGCTAGTTGCAAAGACAACATTTGATGTACTAAATCATTTAAACTAAAATGAAATAAAAATTCGTTAAACTATAAAACTATAATGACAAACAAAAACAAAAAATACTAACAATTTTATCAAAAACTAAAATGAAAACAAAAAGTATGATTTTTAGACATAGTCGTAACTAAAAGCATTAAAAAAATGTCATTATTTGAAATAAAATAAACATTAACTGAAATAAAATATTAAAAAATAAACTTATTTTATTTCAACTAGTTGCCAAAGTAACATTTCTCATTTTAATTTAGTTTAAGTTGCAGTAGTAAAATAACTCAAACTAAAAACATATATATATATATACACACACTAAAAAAAACAAAATTACTAAAACATTAAGAAAAATGTAAATGAAAACATAAAATATAATAGTATCTCAATGATACTAAATTAAAACTCTCCATAACTAAAACTAAAATCATAAAAGTATGACTTAAATAAAATAAAAAAATCATTAGCTGCAATAAAATAAAATGTAAAAAATAAACTTATTTTATTTCAACTTTTTTCATTTACATTTAGTTTCATTTGAAATGCTAAAGTAACCAAAACTAAAATCTTTTTATAGACATATTTTTAAAAAAATGCCAAAAATAATAAAATGACCACTACTCACAACTAAAATTATTATAAAAACACAAATGTAGAAAATAAAATACTAAAATAACACTATTAAATGCACACAGTTTATTTTGTGAAGTCGCTGTGTGAAGATATGCAGTGTTTATGATGAACTCGTTTTATTTGGTAATGCTGGTCATTTAATGGCATTATTTCCGCGAAGCTGTAAAAGTTAAAAACGAGTCCAGATGTACGACACATTTCTGCAGCGACTGTCAACATGACTGTGCAAACAGGATTCGAGCGGGTTCATGCAATTACGAGCAAACTGAAGGGAAAATAAATGAGTGTTTGATGTCAAGCAGCGATATCGCATTTCCTCTAAAGGCAAATCTGATTTGAATTAAAAGCTGATTTCCTGTAAGTCTGATCATTTGTCAGCTTCAACCGCAAACTTACAGTTGCCAAAACGCAGAAATGTTGATTATCTAAACACGGGGTTTAAGAAGCCGGATGTTTGACTTCACAGGCCGCGTTTGATGTCGGGAAAGTCCAGATGAAGTTCTTACACTTACTGAGCGCCATGGCGACCCAGACCGTTTCCCTCCACTGCT